GATTGTTTCTTTCCCTTTCCTCTTCCTCTCCCCATTCTCCAAAACCGAAAACTTTACTCAGCTAAATTTCTACAAACAAACAAAACAAAGAGCATCAAAAGACCTACTTGTCTTCAGCAACTGAATGTATTTCAGAACACAATACAGATTTGAAATATAACTTTAAGCCATAAGTTAGCCAAGTTAAAGAATTCTAGGGAAGAAATTACAGTCAAAATGATAGATTTATTATCATTGATAGAAGTTCATCATCACCAGAATCAAGAAAAACTAAAGCATAAAACAAACAAAATGGAAAAAGAATAATACCTATCACAAACAACTGCCTTGTTACTCTTGTCCATATGAAAGCACCAGAACATGAATACTGAAAATCATTCAATGAAACAAGAACCATTGGCAAATCAAACAAAATACTAAAAATCCAAACAGCTTAAGAAACAAAATCTTAGTCACATGTCCTAAATCAGTATATAAGAACATCAACATCCAAAATCATTAAACTAAACAAACACCCAATAAAATCTTATTTTTGAAAACAGATGCATAGGAAAAACAAATCCAGAATTCCAACCAAATGAGAAATACTAGCTCTTGAGCACTGAGAAACAGAAAGAGTTCATATTTCATATCTATTAAGGTATCAAAGCAGTTAAGGATTGAATCTAATAAAAACTATGATAAAGCAATAGCTTTGATTATTAACCAGAGATAAAAGAAAGAAAGATTAACCAAAAAAAAAAAAAAAAAACATACGTATTGAAGCAGACCTCCCTCAAAACTGCCAATACTTGCATCTTCAACCCCAAACTCACGTCTCCAAATCCAATTAAGATACCAAAAATCAGATTTTCATACTTCCGGGGTTTAATACTTTGAATGCGTTAACGGATGCAAAACGGAATGCTTTTGTAGGTGGTGCAAGGTTGGGAAAAACTTGATCCAAGGGGGGAAATAAAGAAAACCCAGATCAGAAAATCAGCGCCAGTGACGAAAGATTTCAGCTTTTGAGCAGAGATTTAAGGAGATGAATCTCTACACCATGAGTGAAGGGCAAAGAATACTGCCGAGAATGGAAGGAGAGTATAGAGAAGATAAACAAAATGGAAAAACACTGAAAAGCAGTCTAGTAGTAGTAGTACAAAAAATGGGGAAAAGATATTTATTTCATTGGTTGGGTTGTTTGCAAATTTAGGGCAAGATAAGGGACAATAAAATATGGATATACAAATAATTAAAAAAAAAAATACAATTTTTTCAAATAACCTTCCAACCCCTTTCAAAAAAAAAAAAAAAAAAAAAAAAAAACCTTCCAACCACGCATTCCTGCCTTAGAAAGATTATGTGCAACGAACTTAACTGAGAATGTAATAATCTTCTAATACGAAAATCATACTCCACACACTTAACCAATTCTTTTAGAGATTTAAATAATGTTAAAAAAAATATTTCATAAATTATTACTTGTATAAGATGATATACATTGCAGCCTATGTCCAATGATGATTTGATTTACAATGTAGACACACCCCAATCCCCATGGAGTTGGTGTAATGTTGGGATTGAATTGGTTTTTAATATGTGGTAACTTTATTACTTTTATAGACACATGACACATGCATGGCCAAATCCTAGTATTAAATTTAGAAGTTGTTGAAACAATTAAGACAAACTAAGATGATCTATTCACCAATTTTTTAAGTGAAAAAAGAATAATAATAAAGGGGATAAGATTACATGTGACCACTTTCTTTTCACTTACATAGTGCTTTTAAGAATTTTTTTTTTTATCATACGTTACACATTTATAAGATTTGTCAAGGCACTTAGCCTAGTAATTACAAAGTAGGGTTTCAGTGAGAACACTTGCTTAAGTGAGAACAAATCGTGTGCATCTATCTAATATTTTTTAATGATTTAGATTAGATTAAGTGTGTGTGAACGCGAATTAAATGTGTACAAACACACTTAATCGCGTTTGCACACATTTAATTTTGCGTTGCACACACTTAATCTAATCTAGACCATTAAAAAATATTAGATAGTTGCACACGATTTGTTATCACGTTCTCACCTAAGCAAGTGTTCTCATATAATCACACACACATACATATATATATATATATATATATATATATATATATATATATATATATATATATATATATATATATCACAACGGTCCAAACAAGGTTTGCAATACGCCAATACCCCCTTGGACCACTGACCACAGGAATTTTGGGTAGTCTTCATATTTTAAAAATGTTTGCTTTAAAAAAAATGAAAATAATAAACTGTGGGTAGTTTTTATAGTGTTGTTTTACTGGATTCACGTTGGGAAATTTCCATTTGCCAGTCATGAAACGCGTTAAATTTCGTGTGCCATAGAGTGCGCAATCTCCATGTGGTCCCTTTTCACTTTGGCCGTTCTCCATAGCCCAGAAAACCAAAAATAGGTATTCATTTAGCGAATAAAAGGTCTCACTTAAAATTTATTTATAGCAATAAAGTAAAAGTTTAATTTTTGTTACGAATATTAAAAATTGAGTTAATACCCAAAATCGTCCTCGACTATAGTGGTATTTCTCAATTTCGTCCTAAACGACTTTGATGACCTAATATCGTCCCAGACTTTTGTGTTTCACTCAATTTAGTCCTCCATTTGTTATTCCGTCAAATTGGTGTTAAATAAAGGGACAATTCAGTAATGTCAATATTGATCTCTCTTTACTTTCAACTTGTGAAGTGCGAAATTCCTCTTTCTTGTACGAATTACACCTAGAATTACTCCCGGACCTGCAAATCAAATTTTATATTCGCAGTTTTAGGAGTAATTCGTAAAAAAAAAAAAGATTTCGCAGTTCACATGTCTTTGAGTAAAGAGATGCCAATATTAAAATTACTGAATTGTCTATTTATTTAACACCAAATGGACAGAATAACTAATGAAGGACTAAATTGAGCAAAAACACAAAAGTCTGGGACTAAATTGAGCGAAACACAAAAGTCTGGGACGATATTAAGTCACCAAAGTCGTTTAGGACGAAATTGAGAAAAACCACTATACTCGAGGACGATTTTGGGTATTAACTCATTAAAAATTTGAGTATTTTATGCACGATTTGGTTTGATTAAAAATATTATGTGCGACAAACTTAATCAAAAATGTGTTAATACATATTAAATTCATGATCAATTTAGTTCATTAAAAATACCATATACGATGAGCTTGACCAAAATTATGTTTTATTTACTCGGCTACTACTTTTAATCCTACTTTTTTCGGCTATTACTACAGTATAGTTTGCACATATTGTTCTCAAAAAGTTGAATCTCCAACTTTAACGTGGCCCTTCACTTTAAGAAGTTGCTTTTACACTATCACTAGTGAAACTCAATCACGAATCATTGTTCTCAAACTTTACTTCTGTAACCATCTGAGCATGTTGACAGTATTCATTGTTTTGAAGCGTTCAAGGTGGTTTGAAGGGCAGTGTGGTCTTTTTAGGAGGCGAAGACTTGTAGAAGTCTAGAAGATGCTTTAATTATGATTAGTAGCTGTAATATTCGTCACGTATCCGAATCCCGAGAATCTAATTGGAATTCGTTACTTCCGTTTCGATTTTTCCCAGTCTGTCGACGACGCTCCCCTCAAATTACTAAAACACCCTTTTTGCTTTGGTCAGCAGTCCATTTTGGGCCCCACTCTGTGAGCTGGCTAATCCACTCTGCTCATGACTTCCAAAGCTTCAACACTTGAACGTTAGAAACTCAAATCCAATAATGGGCTTTTGCTCTCGATTTGGCCTGTTCAATGTGGGCTGGGCCTTGCTAATATCAACCGCGATCCAAGTTAACCCATTTACCGAGTCAACTTTTTTTTTTTTTTTTTTGAGTACAATCTAACATTCTAACCTTAGGGTTGGGGTTCAGCCTTTTGAAAGAATTAATACATATGTTCAACATAATTATTTATACCAACATCTTTGATTAGGATGAGACTCAAACATGTGACATTCCATTTGAAATGGTAACAGTGTTACCATAAGACCACAAGGTACTTAGCATTTACCGAGTCAACTTAGTTGGCAAATTTTAAATCCACATAATTGTGTAGACCATGAATACAATGTACATTTTGAATATACTAAAAGTACATTAGCTGTGTGGATCATGGTCCGTGAAATAATGATTGGTTGGAAAGTAACCTTAACTAAGAGATACAAATTTCTAGCCACAAGGTCATAAGTTCGAATCTTAGCCTTGGTTTGAATCATTCATTGACCTTCTTAGTATGAGCCGATCAACTATAAACAACTTAAAACTAGTTTTGAATCAAAGTTACCCCATTTACCCTCAGATTTATGCAAATAATCACAAAGAGATAAACCAACCTAGGTGGCGCTTCAGTTTAATCCACCAAGGCGTGCCGGCAACATACTAAGGATGCTACTTTGTGTAGCATTCATGAACATAGATGAGTAACTTCATCTTATATGCCACCATGCAGTTGTACACATTTTCTCCATGGATACATGAGGGGGAAAATAGTCTGAATGGAAATGAGACCTTTATACTCTCTTATCATCTCTATTCCGTTAACCAAAAACCATTATACTTTCTGGGTCGAAGTAAGGTGTTAGTCACTGCGATAAAAAAGAAGGGAAAACAGAAGTTCAAGTAGCAAATGACTTTGGTTGCAAAATGTAACTAAGAAGATCATGAGGCAATACATATAGGGGTGTTTGGTAAATAGCAGTTAGCTAATTGAGTTAGTAGATTTGACTAGTTGATAACATTAGCTGATTGTAGAAAAGTGTTTGATAAATCAGCTGTTAGCTGATAGATTACATAAATACATACAAAATGACTTTCTCAAAAAGCTGATTTGAGCAGCTTTTTGAATTTTAGCATTTTGGAACAATAAGCTGTTACAAAAAGCTAATTAATCAAACACTCATATTGATTGTTTAACCAAGTCAAACAGCTAATAGTGGTCAAATACGTCAAAATCGGCTGATAAGCTAACTATGTTACCAAACAAGGCCATAAGAAACGATCTCGAAGAGAAAATACCTGGTTGTTGATGCCCCTCCTTGTAGGATTTCTGATGATGTGCAAATGAAAGCCTCAAATAGGAGACTTCAATTCCCATATATATCAGTTAAACAATGCATCTCCATTCCAATCTAGTTTTTGAATATGCCCTTCAACTGATTCAATCGAAAGGGTTTATATCTTTCTTCAGTTTTTCCCAAATGTCATGACCTTCAGGATGTCGACTTACATATGTCCTCACGAAAGCTTCCTCGGAACAAGCTACAATGGTCCTTAAGGCCAAGTTAGGATTCACTCTCCCTTGATTTTTCAGCCAATTATACATAGAAACCCTAAGTTTAGTTCTCTGTAAGTTGTAGGCGATATACGATGGAAATGAAACTAAACTAGACAGCGGATACCCCAAGCTGTTGACAAGAAAATCGATCTTTGCTTCGATGACATCTTTGGTTTGGTTGAGAATATTAGGATAAACTCTGATCATCGTAGAGACATCTTTAGGATCTATACCAGCATTGACAAAACAGTCGAATCTCTCTTGAAGCTCCAACCCTTTTCCTCGATAAGCTTTGAGAGCTTCCTCCATTTCACCCCGGTTTTCAACAAAGCCTAAACTCAACAGAAACTTAGTTTTCATCTCTTTTGATCTTTGCATCTCTTCGGCTGTTGGGAGTGGTTCGACTCTTGCTCCTAGAACCCATTTCTTCAAAACCTGTGGATCCTCTAAGATCATTTTACAAAGCCGCTTCTTCCCAGAATTTAAAGTACGCAGCAAGCTGTCTGCTTTCTTTAAAGAACACGAACCCAGCAGCAAAGGGTCTGAGCAAAAAATACTCCCAATCTCCTCTACGGGCACTTCAATTTCAATCAGAACATGGTAACAGTTGTGCAAGTTCTTGAGAAACTTCCCGGTTTGAATTTGTGGGAACTGAGAAAACATGCTATATATCTTATGCTGCGTGCATCCAAATTTCCACAAGAATCCCATAATTAAAAATATAGTACGCCCTGAGCTCTCAAATAAAAGCTCCGGGCTATTGCCTATTACCTTTCCCAATTGCTCGTCACCAAAACCTAACTTACCGAACAAGACTAGGACTTCAAATAAATGGCTCCAGTTATATGAGACGCCTTTCAATAACTGCTTCCAAATCCACTCATGTTCTATTCCCGCACTCCTCAACTTCTCCAAAAATCTTAAGAATTCCCTATCCGCATTTCCTACCAAAAGGTAAGGATTAGAATAAATAACCTTAACCAAAGTGGATTGGTCTAACCCAACCTCACCAAACAACCGAAGCTTTGACTCCAATACTCCTCGGCCATACCTGAAGATCTCGGGAGCTTCTTTGTAAATTTTGCCTATCTTATCCCTTGGAAAACCGCAATTACAGAACACATGATAGTTCTGCATCAAAACCTGGTCATCATTCAAGAACATCAACTTTGGTGGGAGGACCAAAGAGGTCTCAGAAGAGTGCAACCCCATACTCTCGAAAAACGGCTCGAATTCATTAATGGGATGGTACCTCAAATACCTAGCCACAGACCCAACACCCTGACTTTCACTATCTACCCTTTTCAACAAACTTTCAAGAAAATGTGGGGAGTTTCTACTTATGTGCTCAGCATCCACAAATTGCAACCCTCTGGTGGAATGCAAGTACTCCAATAGAGCAGCCTGGGCTTGTCGCCTAACAGTCGGAGGAAATTGGGATTTTTCCTCCAAGATTTTCCGATCATTCCTTTTCGTGCGATAAAACCTATAGTTCTGAACAATGTCGGATGACCCAATAGCCCAAAGTTTCGTTCTTGATGGTCTAAAGCTATTGTGACTATAACTTACAGATACCCATTTGAGAACAGATGAAATTCTCAGCTTCCGCAAATGGTTCATGGGTTTTTTGTTAATAGATATTCAGTGTAGAGTAGCACTGGATTGAGAACTAGAATAACTGAGGTTTTGAGCTGCAATAGATATACCCAGAAGGTTAAGGGGTTACCTTGAGTATTTATTCATCATTGCTCGGGCATTGATTCTGGACGGACAGGTCGGAGCTCCGGCGATCGACGGCGGGGCTGCCACTTTTATCGACACAAGAGGAGCTCACAATCACACCAGAACTCCGCAGGCCTTTTGGCTATGGACAGAAATGCTCTTCCAAGTTCCAACTCAGGAGATTGGAGTCTGGAGGACAGGAGGGGGCATTATTGTCTTCTAAAATTGTAGTGAGGATAATTTTTTAAAATTTCCTTTTATATTTTCAATCTTTTAAAGAAAAAATATTAATATTAATCTCTTTAATCTCTTATACATAAGCAAGAATTGGGGTGTGAAAGCTTTCTTTTGACTTCTCTAATTTATATATTGGTTAATTATAAATAATCTAATCTTCTTTTTTTATATTGGTTAATTATAAATAATATAATCTTCTTTTCCTCATTGGGACGTGCCCGACATAGCATTTGAGAAATGTAAATCATGATAACTTAATGACTCAACAAACAGAGTTAAATGTCAATACGCACAAGGAATCTACTAACTTTTGACATAGTTCCCACACTGCCGCGCCCGAAGTACGAACATTTTGAATCAAATTCTCTCAAAAATTTAACTAAAACTCTACAAATGCGAGTTGAGCCAAATTATATTAGTCCATAGAGACAATGCCCCTTAGTTACTAGCAAATTATTATGCTTTCATTTGCACCACATATGACTGAAGAATTTGAAATCGAAGCAATAGATAATGACAGAATCTGATGTCTAAGCTGGAGGGGTTAATAATACCTGCAAAAAATTATCATTGGCAGTGTTGACATCTATGATCTACCATCAAAAGCTTTCAGATAAACTTATTTCCTACTACTAAGAATTGCCTCCACTAAATCCAGCTATTTAAAGAAGTTTGCATCCTCTCATGGGCAAGTATTCTAAAATGATACACCTACAGAAGATGAATAATGATATGAGATATCTTTAACATCCATCGTTTGTCAAATCCTCGGTTATTGCTTTGGCATGTAGTATGGATAACCCCCGAATGAGGGAAGCGTTGGAGGAGGATCTCTCATAGCAGCATATTGAGGATATGGAATTTGAGGTTGCACGGGATATGGAGAAGGTGCAGCTGGTGGACTTAAATATGTGGCATTTGGGTATGCGGCCATAGACTGAGGATAAGTGTAGCCAACAGGAGTTTCAGAGCCAGGTGGTTTTTGAGTTTGCAGGTATCCAGGCGTCATCGCTAATGGTACTGGAACCATTGATGCTGGTGCCTGTACTTGAGTTACCTTGCCCTTGTAGTTGTCGGCAAGTTTCACGGTAATATTCCTACCCTGCAAGCATTGCAAAAGATGAGATCCATTCAAGGATGTGCAGTACTCAAATCTAGAAGAGTTGTTTATTCCAGTAATTCTATATTAACCTAGATAACAGTCAGGAGCATGCAGAAAAAGAAATACTGCACATCTTCTTACCCCGAGTATCCTTTGTGGATCATCTATAGCTTTCTTTGCGGACTCCACTGTTTTATAGGTGACAAAACCAAAACCACTACAAGCAACAAATGCATACTAGTTAGACATGATGCAAAATGGGCTTGTCTATCTACAAGCAAGATGTTGATAATGTTACCGAGATTTGTCTGTATCTTTGTCATATGCAACTGAACCCTCCTCTATATCACCGTGCCTTCTGAAAAAGTTGAGCAGCATCTCAGTAGTTGTGTCTGGTGATAAACCCCCAACGTAGAGCTTCCTCTGGGCTTGGTCAGGTGTAATACTAGAGCTGCTTAAGCCTTCAGATGCCAGGTTACAAACTGCCATGCGACCCTGAAACAAATAATTAAAGAAATATCAAGATTAGGAGAGTGACTATGAACATGAGCTTGAAAACAGATTCATAATTTTCTTTGTTTACTAATTTAACTAATATAATCCAAGAGATAAACATTAACAGAAGTACTCTCGTTCACATCCTTTTCTTGACCATATAATAAAAGGAATTTGTATTACTAATACCACTATTAATATAATCTACTCCTTTCAGTAATGGTGGACCAGCGGAAGAGTAGGAAAAGGTTGCCTTACTCTATTCCTTCCTTTGAAAGGAATATTGGTCCAGAACACTTGATATTAACCAGCTTTTCCCTGTTAAGGTTTCAATGTAGAATTCACAAATTGGATTCAATTTATTACTGACTGTCCAGATTAAGAAAGTGCCACCAAGAATAGCAAATGATACACCCTTGTCACTGACTTGCGTTCTCAGATGGCATAATTTGTTCCATACATAGGTGTAGTTGCCCCATTTTGGGCTGAGCATTCAAGTGCATATTTATTTTATTAACAAAATAAGATTTTCATCTTATGTAAAGATTTATCTCATAAAGTGTGTCATCAATTATTTCTTGCTAGTATTATACCAAAACAAGAAACTGAAAGAGAGGATGTAACTCTGTAGAGTCCACACAATTCTTGAATTCAATCATAGATTGTATTTGGTAGAGAATATATCACTCACATCAATCATTTTGCTAGGTGCTTTTAGAGCTCTCTGAGCTGATTCCATGTCTTTAAAGGTAATAAATCCATAGCCACGAGATTTTCCAGTTGCTTTGTCAGCAATGACTGCACCCTCCTCAATTTCACCATGCTCTTCAAAAGCCTAAAAATACATGATTAGTTATATCAAGCTCCAATGCTTCTACACTATGTCAGCAATCCATAAGAAATCAAGTTAAACAGGAATTATAAGAAAAGATTTACTAATAATTCAGAGTATAACTGGAAAAGTTTGAATAATCATTCAGAGTACGCAAACAACTTAGCAATGCACTCACAGCACACAAAGTTTCTGAAGAAGTATTCCAAGCTAAACCACGAACAAAAAGCTTTCGAAGGGCAGGATCTGCTCTTGCAACATTTTTAATTTCTTCAGCAATTGAATGATATTGTGACCCTCTTCACGCCAGAACATGCAAACAAGCACACATGCATAACGTCAATTCGCACAGTGCACAATCCAGAGGAACATAAGAAGTCCCCACGAACAAGCACATCACACTCACATGCAAATACAAACTCAGTGTCTTAAACTAATAACACATGCATAAGTAATAATCAATAGCTGGATAAGATGCAATACAATAAATGACAGACCACAAATAGGCATGATATCCTAGCAAAGAACAAATATAGAGTTAAATATAAGGCCACTGTATTTACTTAATCATTCAAGACGTTTTATTTTTATTTCCTTTTTAAAAATTTGTTATTGTAATGTACAAATACTAGTGCCTTAACTGCTTACATATGCAAGTATTCAACCAAAGAATGTAGCACTTGGTGTTAGAGAAGCTAAATTACAGAATTGGACAAAAGATTACCAAAAGTCAGGGCAGTGAATGGAAATTTGTGACAACACAATAATCAATAACTTAAAAAATCAGTATCGATGACTGTTTTGCTAAGAATTTAGTTTGTCAGTGAAATAAATACATACACAGAGAAGCATTCTCGGTAGTCATTCAATAAAATTTCTTGACCCTCTACAGAACAATAATTTAGCATTCCAGATTTATTCTCTGCAGCTGATTATTTGAGTGTATCAACAACTAGGTATAAGTATATTATACATAAAAGCACATAAGGCTTACAATATTGGTCTATTTTGTGTAATTAACTGGGGGTTGAAATTAGAGTTCCATAATTGTTTTCCAAAACTGACCTTTTATTGTGTGTAATTATTCCGGATACAAATTACAAACTACTATAGTATAAATATTAAGCAACTAAAAGTGAGTTAAGACTATTATGATATTGACTTATTTTCTGTAATAAATTGGCAGTTGCAATTGGGGTTCCAAAATTGGTTCGGATTGGGTATTTGGAAATGAAACGCAGGGTTTTGATATGATATTTCCAAAGAGGCAAAGAACAACGTCATCTTGAGGTGATGCATGTCAGCTAAATGGGATTTCAAACTGGCCATTCAGCTTTGGAGAATGACGTGGCAGCTAAAGGAATTTTCAAATTGGTTGTTGAGTTTTGAGAATAAGATGGGCAAAGCTCTTCAGTTTACTCTTCTACTTCTAACTACTGTTAAGCATTTTGATTTTCTGTTTGCAAGAACCATGAAGCTTTGAGGGATGGGTGTCTCCCTTCATGTATAGAAGCTACCTGGTTTCCCTTTGTATTTTATGTTTGTCATTTTTGTCTCTTATGATTGAAGAATCAGAATTAATGAACTCCATTGCAGCCTGCCAATTTATAATTACTTTTCTTCTCCAGTTTAGCTAATTTTCCTTTAAATCCCACACTAGGTTACGGTTAATTAGCAGAGTTCATCACAAAGACAAACCTCAAAGAATCAATAGAATGAGTTAATACGTCAAAGTAATCACTAATCGGTCCCTTTTTCATGTTAAATCACCAATTGCTTGCAGAAATTACGATGAGATAACAAATTACTAGCAACTAATGGAAACTAAACTCGGATTAATGAAAAGAACGGAGCTTACAGCTTAGCGAGGAGATCAACGAGCTGCGGTTTGGGTAGCGGGTCAAGCAGAGAGCGTAATTCTTCGGCTGCTGGAGGTGAAATGTTTGAATCCACTTCGCCATTCCATGCACCTTCGTCTAGCTTCCTCTTCTTCACTTCCTCCATCTCCACACACTCTCTCTCTCCACCGCCCGATGGTGCTCTTCGTATTTATACAACCGCCGTTTTCTGCCCTAATCCGATTATTAGGGATGAGATAAGCTTACGTATCTCTCTGGACACCAAGGCATTACGTGTCTTAATCCGATTATCATTTTAAGGAGTTAAAAATAAAAATAAAAAAAGTCGTAATTGTCTCAAAATGTGTATCTAAGTAATTGGAACTTAATTTTAGCATGTGCCATGTTTGACAATGAGCGGAGAAGTGGCAGGGGTGAGCTTTGGTTCCATAAATTTATTGCATAAATGCTTGCCCATACGTTGATGGGCAAGCTAGGTTGCTCATTAAATGAGCCGTGATGGCTCTTCATTAAATGATCCGTGATGGCTCTTCAAGAAAATACTACATACATTCTCATTTTTTACTCTCAATTTATATTTTCTTTCACAAATTTTTGATGTAAACACATTCTCTGAGACTCACATGATGAAAATAACCAATCTTTGTTTATATGTCATGGAGAACAAGTGAGAGAGTAAAATTTGAAAGTACATGTAGTAGCACTCTTCATTAAATGGGCCTTAATGACTTTTTTTTTTTTTTAAAATATAAAGAACGTTTTGGAGAGAGAATATGTTTTCCCCAAAACGTCAAAGAACAAATGATGCTCTTAGTAGCGTTTGTAAAAATGGCGGTTTGAAACAAACTGTCGCTTCAAACCATCATTTTACTAAATTTGTAGTTTAGCGTTTTAACTGGCGGATTCGCCATTTACCTTTACCTCTTTAATGTAGTTTACATAATTTATTTAGTGCACACTTTCAAATAAATTCATCAATTTATCATTGGTTAGTGCACATAATAACGTGATAAATTCAAAAACAAAATGTATCTTAGAACAACTTATTGTATTAGTGAACTGGCATCTTACAGATGATTGTTGATGGGGTACGGAACTAATGGGCCCAAAGCCCAAGAAGGGAAAAGAGGAAAGAAAGAAATGTTAAGCCCAATAGAAGGAAAGCCCGGAGATAAGCGCAGGCATGACGAAGGAGTCGGCTCGAGTCGAAGGTCGGCGCGAGTATTTAGTCGGCACGAATAGGGGGTCGGCCAGATGAGATAACCGTTGGCATTGAAGAGGCCTCTTTAAGGCTTGGTCAAACAAGCCGTTGGGAAGCCCAGTAACGGCCCGTAATGGTTAATGAACCTATTTATGGGCTTTATTGCTTTAATATATGCATTTAAAATAAAGGGATGACTCACTATAAAAGGGCTCCCCAGCAAATTGTAGAGGTAAGCCGATCCGGGGCCAAGAATCCCCAGAGAAGTCAGAAATATACAAAGAGTTATAGTCATCCATTTTGCAAATTGTTTAAGCTTTGTTTGAAAGGTGAATCCACCAACCGTGATTGTGTTGGACCTCCATGGGCCCAAAAATCCTAAAGCCAACAATTGTATTAACTGTTTTGACCAAATTGTATCTATAAATTATTTTTAGTTTTACGTATACATTTGTTAATAAGGTTATTTTAATTATTATTGTTGTTTTCGTTGTTGATTTTTTTTTAAAATACTCATGATTGCCTTCACCATCGGAGTTCGAACCTATAACCATCACACTACATGGTAATTGGCTTTATTGCTTTTATAATTATTTTCATTGTTGCTTTTATTTATTATTTAACTTTTTTCGCTATTATTAAACAAAAATAGTTCAATATTAAAAATGTAAGATTGAAATAAAAATAAATAAATATAAACACCACAAAAATCAACAAGTGTTAAGAGTAAATTTGATATTTAAAAAGAAAATGCAATAAACATACCAAAATACCAATTGGGTAGCTTTTTAATTTTTAGTTTATTGATGTCAATAATCTAAGACAGAAAGATCATTTATTGAACACTTATTTTAATTATTTGACTTAGTCAAACAAGTAAATGTGGTTAAATAAACCAGAAGTTGGTTGATAAGTTTGCTAAATACTTTCTTAATTTCAATTAAAGCATAAATGACCCATTTAACTATTGACATTTACTAAATTTTATTATCATCTCAATTTAAATCTCTTTTACTATTAATTTTGTTTGAATTTAATTATTTAGTTAAATATTTATTTAATAAACATTAAATTTAAAGGTTTTGTTGGATAGGCCAGGAAATAATCATTTTCATTTTGTTATTGCAGCATTGAAATTACACCCAAAAAAAGCCATTAAAAAAAAAAAACTTAAAACAAATGTCCCCAAAAAGAAAGACAACTAATATATTATTCCTCAATACACACATGGAAAACACTTGATATTAGAGTTGTATAAAAAAATGCAAATGCAAATGCAAGCAATACTAATTTTATGAAGAAAATGTGATAGATGGATCAATTTTTTACTAAAAATTTCACTAAATGCTAATGTGGCCATTGAAAAATACTTGAAATACTCTTAGTGCGTGAAACAAATCTCGTTTAACGTGACATGCTTCTTTGGTTGTCTGTCAAATCAGAATACAACCCGTCACACCAAGCGAGACTGGTCCCGCCCCGGGAGTATTGTGTAGTATTATTTGGCATCCCACCCTAGCAGTTAGCAAAATTTTTGGTAGAAAATTTAGTGCCACCCTTTATTCCTAATGTTCCTATGATGATTGTGTATACTGTATATATAACATTCTGATATGTTACAGTATATGCAGCCTTTATTGAAGAGCCCAAGCCCCAACAGAAGACTTATACCCACTCTGAACTATATATATTGTATATATAGTCTGCAGAGTTGCATCTTTCATCTGTTGTGAACAAAGAAGCTCTTTTCGACACGCGATTGAAGATGCAGATAGATGAATGAACATTGCCAAAGTTGAACTCCCCGTTGCCCTCAATGCACGGAATGGAAAACGTGAACATGCATTGTGTGTTTCGGTCCCTAGCTGACATCAGCTTCACGAGAGATTAATGGATCATCATCCTCGGGTGATGATGTTATGCATGAAGTCTGAGAATCTAGCAAGCTCTTGGTTGTCTTCTGTTGTTGATCAAATATCCTCTTCAACTGCTTGCTTTGTTCCTCAATTCTCATCTGCAACTTTTTCTGTATCTAATCATAGATAACAAGAACTAAGAAACAAGGTTTTATGGGACAAAAGAGGTTAGCAGAGTCTTATGTAGGACAAAAGAGTTTTATCTGAATGAAACCTCGAGTTGTTCGTGAAGGCGCCGTTGGACTTCCAGCTGCATCTGCAGTGCTTCCTTGATTTGAGTACCACTGCAAGGCAAGGTTAAAGTTGTGTGAATGTTAGAAAGTAAGATTGGGCTAGGATTACTCCAAATCACACCGAATATGCTCTGATACCATGTTAAAAACTAAGATTGAGCTAGAGTCATTCAATTGGGCTATAATACACATTGGTCAAAATTGAATCCAACCCATAACCTTATAAACCCATATATCAATGGGACTCTTAACAATGAACAATGCAGGCTGTCAGAACATGAATGAAGCTAAGATATATGAGCGAAAAAGGCATACGCTTTACTGTCAATCTCTGATGCATTGTTTAGGGTGCTTCTTTTCTCAGATTTCCCTGCAGAATAGAAAGGGAAAGTATATCAGATCGGGCTTTCTTATCCCGGATAATGTTGGCCTGAAGGGCCAAGTCTAGCACCAGGTGGCTAGGGGATTGTTGGGCAGAGGCCTGAAGGCGAAGTGATTTGAAGTTGGTATGTACCTTCTGGGGATTCAGGGCTGTACTTTGCATTTCTGTATTTCTGCACAGAAAAGATGTAAACGAGAACGAAACGGTTGGTTTGATTAGTTCCTTAGCTTTGATTAGTTCTTCTGCACACAAGTCCCAAAAACAGTCAAATACCTGCAAATGGCTTTTGACATGAAAGATGGTCAAGCCTTCTGAGTCCATTAGCTTCAGTATTGCTTTTGGTGTTGCCTCTAAAGGATGGAACCATGACCAATATCAGAAATGGATTGAACTTTATGAGGTTTTCGGGTTATTGAGAGAAGGGAGATACTTACTCTCGGCTCCACCGAGGCGATTCACAGACTCCACGAATCGATCATGGAGGTCTTGAGTCCACCTGATTCTTGTTTTGCTGGACATGGACCCTGCAGGGGAGGCAGAATTGGGAGGGGGACATGTTAAAGGGTTTCCAGGGTGATGTAGTCTGAGATTTGCAAGGTGAGAACCATTTGGATTGTGAGAGACCTATATGAATATTATGGATCACAAATAAGTGGATGAATTGAATTAGCCAATCTGGAAATCAAATCTTGCTTAGAGATTCTTACACCATAATCTTGATTTCCATCCAGGGTGATTGCAGGGTGCCCTTTAATTGGAGGACCATCAAGAACATCCTCAAACAGCTTCTTTTTAAGCAGCAAAATCCTTTCTTTCTCAGACAGATTGCAGAAAGGGGGATTCCTATACAGTCTCTCAGAGCCATTAGAAAACTGGGATTTCAAGAATGCTTGTGCCAGGTTCTTGGCCTGCAAATCTGGCTCGGTCTGCCCCTGGGTGTACCCGAACAACCCCCCGTTTCCCTGGTATGGCACAATTTGCTGATCGAAATTCTTGGACCCGTTCTCATCTTCATCATCATACTGTGACAATCCAAGACACTGTTCGGTCGCAAAAAACGCCTCGAGTGATCCTATCTGGTGCATGATACTGCTCGTGCTCGAGGCATTTGCAGAACCAACATTCTGCTGCTGCTGCTGATGGCACATCGAGGCCTCTTCTGCAGGCACAAAACACTGCACCATCCCGGGGGGAGAGACCGGGGAGTAGTGTTGTTGAGCCCCGAAACTTTGGTGAGGATTTCTCAACATTTCTAACCCAAAATCCCTCCCAAATCCATAGCTCTGCTGTGCTCTTTCCTGAGCAGAACTGAAAGTCTGGAACTTCATTCCCCTAAGAACTGCAACTCTCAGAATCCACCCAAGAATCAGAGCTAAATATGGATACCACACAAAATGACAGAAGAACGATGAATTCCTCGAAGCGTGAGCTGTGGCAAGCCAGCCCGAGTCGAGACAAGAACAAGCAACCGGATTATAAAAAATCGAAAATTGCAGAGTTTTCTAGCAATAACATAAGCTTTGCTGCCCAATTAAAATATGCTGCAAGTCTTCATTTACAAGACAAATGAATCTGTCAACAATCCAACCTTAACTTTACAATGATTCTTTAAATGGATAAGGAGTGAGAACCCATCTTCTTTGACAACAACAAATGCTAATATATATTTACCAGAAGGAAACAAAGTCTCCTAGGTAAACCAGTACTTTTATACTAATAAGGTTTTTGTCTCTTCCATGATCAGACTGTGACTACTTCATAAGAGTGAAAAGTGAAAGGGATCAGAATTCCTGTAAAAAAAAAAAATAGAGGGAATATAATGGATTATTGAAATTCTTTTTAACCATATATACATATGATCAGATTAGATAATAGGAGAATATAGTTTATGGGAGCATCTGTAGCTTAATACTTTGCTTTTAGAATACTCGCATATATTCATGAGTCTACCAGACTCACTTAATTTATTCTTACTTATTTTTCTGCAGCCACCAACTATCAAGATTACCAGCAGAGTTCCACTAGCTAGGAATCAAATGTAGTGCCCGCACGAGTAACTCAGTTGGTTGAGACTCGGGATCGAGGCTTGACAGTAATAATGTTAGAGTTCCGCCTAATGTGGTGGGTCCCTTGTTAGGCACCAGATATTGGTCTTCCCAGTTTTCACCTAAGAGACTTCTGACTTCTGAGTCAAAGTAATTTACCCATTCACAATTTTATCGGTCCGAGGCGAGAGACTTTGCCTTTTATTTTTTTTTTTAGGGTGAGGAATCAAATGCAGAAAGAAGTTAGGGAAATGTCAGAACTTTGAATATTCCAAAATGTGTTTTACAAAAAACATTTAAGTTTTTGTCAAATGCCTGTCAGGTTCACTGTTGACATGAAATCTGGTGGTTATTCTCAGTGAGTTTATAGAAATAGTTCTGCAATGAATCCAAACATATAAATCCGCCTGCCTAAACCACTTAAAACACCATTATCTTTAAACGAGATATTTTACAAAATTAATTTCCACAACATCTTAAAGACATAGTTATTAATGAATTTCTAATAGTGGTTAATGGTTATACACTTGACAATTCATAAACACTTTGTACGGAACAAAATAATCAAGTCCACCAAGGGTCTCCATATTCCGACCTGACAGAGCATTTAGGAAGATGTAAATTACGCTGGCTCAATGGTTCAGTAGACAAGGCCAAATACCACATAAAAGATCTGTTCATTTTAGACATAATCCCCACACTACCGTTACCAAAATTTGAACCTTAATTTCTTCTCCCAAATATTTGAACCTTAATTTCTTCTCCCAAATACTATCTACTGAACCAGTGATCAAAAACCGTGTGGGCTCCTCAAATACATTCTTCTTTCAAAAGGCTGAACCTCAACCCTAAGGGCCCCCCACACCCCGATACATTCTTCTTTCAAAAGGCTGAACCCCAACCCGACAGAGTATTTGGGAGGAACTGAACACGAACCACAGAGGCTAGACCTGTGTTCACTGCGCACAAAGAACCCCCTCACTGTCGCTGGTGAGACTCAATCCCTGATCATTCTTTCAAAGTTTCACAGATTCATCTCTCTGACCAGTTTAGCTGCGAATGTGGTTCCTCAAATACATTCTTATTGTAAGCACTAGGTGACATAGAGTCTGTAACTTTCCATGTTCAGATCAAGTGACAAAACTGTCATTTCTTTCATGGGTGTTTGTCAAATCAACCAACCTGAATCTCTAAACTGCAATAAATGGTTCTTGTTCTTGCTTTCTTGAATATTTCACTTTGGCCATTGTTAGCTATAATTGGGTCAAACTTGAAGGTGACAACAAATGGACCAGCTGAAAATTTATTCTCCCGGCCAGAAAAATAATAAATAAATAAACGGGATAATATTAAAAAATGTTATCTGATCCCTTGGTTTCAAAACCAAGTCTCTATTTTATTACAAATATAATAACAGCTAGAAATAAAATATGATAATTTTTTATTTACAAAAAAATTTACCATTGTTATTTATTTGTTACTTATTAATAAATCAATTTTGTAATTGTAGCTGACAAAAGATAAGATAAATCATTTTAGAAAATTTCGATACCCTAAATCCTTAGGATCTTAACCTATTTTTGCTCTTAGTGTAATATATGATATTCTTGAGAATGTTATATTAACTTTAAATAATCAATCAATCTCTTGAACTAAACACCCCCGATGTTAGAATTTTCAAGGTTTTGCCACTAGGTTAAAAAAATTACAAATCGTTCTATCTGATTAACTCTTTAACTTTTCTTTGGTAAGTTATACTTTACCTAAATAGAAACTATCCTCTGAAATATATTTCTCATTTCTTTAATTGAAGCTTAGATTTGTTGGCGTTTAAAAAAAAAAAATTTTAAAAAAATAAAAAACTATCCTAATTCAATATTATTTAACGTTAAATTAACAAATCACCACCATTGACAACTTGAAACATTATAAATTAAACAAAGTAAACATTATGTTCCAAACAATTCAGATCAACCAATTCTCGTTAACATATAAGATACATTGCAGTAGAACAAAAATTAGTAGTATACAACGTGTTAGCATAAAAATCCCAATTTATATACAAACATCTATTGACTTGTATAAAAATTTCTTTTTCATACAACAAAACATTTCTTAATATATTCCATACAAAAATTTCTCAAAAAATAATTTTTTTAGAACAAAAACCCAGAAGATGATAGTGGGAGAACATGTCCTACTAGATCAAAGACTCGAAACATTATAAACAAATTAAAGCAACCATTATGTTCCTAACAATTCAATCAATTCCCGTTAGCATATACTATACCTACCATATGTTAGTGAGTGTTATTATTTTCTATAGTATATAGTTATATTATGTCAATTAAACCTGAGCCACATAATATAACTATATACTATAGAAAATAATAACACTCACTAACACCATACACGTCAATAGAAAAATTTCATCCTACATGCTAAACAACAATTGATTTATAAAAATTTTTCTTTTGTGACAAATAATTTCTTCTTTCAAAAGGTAAATCACCAACTTCAATGGCCCTTCACACTCTGACTCGATAGAGAATTTTGAATGAGGTAAATTACGGTGAGTCAATGACTCAGTAAGACCAAATGAATAATTTCTTTAACATGTTTGGTGAAAATTTTGTCGTCGTCTATGTTTAAAAAGATAATTAGGAACAACAGCATTTCCCATTTAATTAATGATTATTATTTTTGTATTTATGTAGTTGTCTGCATCAAAGAATCAACTGCGCTGCAGATTGGTTTGTTGAAAGATACATAGCCTAATCTATACTTTGGAGATATCGAAATCGGATCGATACGACCAAGCGAATATTAAATAGGTGTCAAAGGTTGCTATTTACGGTAAATTTGTTCATTGTTATTATTAACATCTAATAGTAGTAAGTTAGTTTAATTAATAACAAAAGATTATTTAATGATGTATAATGTTTTTCCAATAAAAAAATTGATAAACCAATGTTAGATTGACAGACAAGAGGGTAATATGAATGGAATCTGAAGGCGATTCAAATCGCCTTGATGTCTTTATCCATGGAAGCCTGCACATTCCTTTTCTCTTGTTATCTTATTTATTTGTTTGTTTTTTTTTTTAAAAAAAAAAAACCTTATTTATTTGTTTGTTTATTCTTATATTCCCCTTAGCTTTTATATATTTTGAGGGTTTTTTATTTATTGAAATATTTGTTGAAAAAATAGTATAGAATGATGACATTGAAAGTGATTATTTTGTGATACAAATAGATGTGGAGTCCACTTCTGATTTGGGTAAAAATCAATTCAGGTACTCACTTTCCAACCCGAAAAGTCTTTAATTTTACGACTTTAATTAATCTTGTGTGTAATACTGTATTCTCATGACTTTAATCTCGTGTGATTCGGGGTAAACGATCCAGCGGGTCGGAGATTAAAAAAACATTAATTGAAAATATTAATATTTGACAATAAAAAATTAATTGGCGCCTATGGCCTAATGGATAAGGCGCTTGACTTCTAATTAAGTAATTGTGGGTTCGAGTCCCACTGGGCGTGTATTAGTTGAATTTGTTCTCAGCATTGTAATAGAGTCAGACAATTATTGTCACCTTCTTAGTCTGTCGCACCGAATCTTAAATAATGACTACTATATTATACTGTACAACCCTAAAATAACAAAAGTGAAGTATGATTCTCTTATTAGAATGTTATTGTCATCTTCTCAGTATGATTCTCGTATTAAAATGTCATGAATTCAATTATTGTCACCTTCTCAGTCGAATCCGTCGCACTGAATCTTGGCTACAGTTTCTTTTGTCCTCATAAAAATTTAAAAACTCAAACGATATTACTTTAAGATAAAGTATCTCACGCCAAAATTTTAAAAAAGACCCAACCAAAATGTCAAAATCATCGTTAATTTAAGTTAATATAATGAGTTGTTGGAAGTATTCTCAATTTGGAATATTGGATTAATATGCATGCATGTGGCGATATTTGTTTTTTTAGGACTAATGACTCTGTTATATTATAATATCTGTTCATACATACTTTCTCAACGTACTAAAATATAACGAGTTGAGTCAATACTTTCATTGAGATTTGATATTAGATATAAGTTTTTTTAGGTGAAAAGGGAAAACAACAACCATTACCAAATGATATTATTGGGTAAATTTGTTAATATGTAATAACTAATAAATCACACAAAAAAAAAATAAATTGTATTACGAATATCATGTGCGACAAACTCACATAATAAAAATAAACTGCATTTTTAAAATTTTGTATGACAGGCTCGAATAAATATATGTCTTGATATTAATATATGTTGCGCTGTTGCTGAGTAATTTCCAAATGGATAGGAATCATTGGCATTACTTTTGACACTGGAAAATAAACTAATTAACGTTTTAAAAAATACCATAAAGAAACGTGCCGTTTCATGGGAAAAGTCGAACTAAATTAATTAGTAGTGTTTTGCTACAACGTGGTTGGACGTTTGCCAAATTTGTTGCCCTTTACATTTTTGAAAGGACAAAAATATAAAATCTTATGGAGCAATGGCT